CTGGTCTAAAGGTTTCATGTCTTCCTTAGACAGGGCCCTGGCAGGAAGGACTGCAGGACAACTCTGCTGAGCACATTGCATTAGAAAGATGTTAGCCATGAAATTTTAACTGTAGTTTATACAAAAGTCACACTCTTTGGTCTGCCTCACAGATGTGAACATGAATTTCTTTTAAAAATTTCAAAGAGGCCAGAATTATTACTTATTAGAGTTGCTTCAGTTTGAGTAGGCTTCTTTCCGACAATTTTTCAAATTTTACAATGTATTAGATACAATAAATTCTGTTTAAAAAAATAAAAACAGAAACCCCGACAGAAGTTCTACTCTACACGTGGGCTCACCATGACTCGAAATACTCTCCCCGGGAACCGATTTGGTTTTTGTTATTGTTTTGGGTGCTGTGTGCCAGGTACTATTCCAAGCGCTTTAGTTACCTTGTTCCATTTAATTCTCACAAGGCTCCTCCTCCTGCCACCTCACGCACCATGGGTACTTTTCCTGTCCCCAGGTTCGATGAAGAAATGGAAGTTTAGAGAGTTTTTTAAAAAAAACAAAAAAGAAGGAAGAAGAAAAAGAGAAAAGAAAGTGTGCCCAAGATCACATAGTCATGACCTAAATGCAGGTCCTCCCAGCTCCAAAACTAGGGCTCTTTTTCACAGCTATATAGTGCCCAGTAATATCATGAAATAAACCCAACAGATTGTACTGCAGTTTCTCAGACCTAAGAGCACACAAGAGGGCTGGCATATGTGAGTCACATATGATGGTAAATGCTCAATGCGACCATCACTGTCAGCTGGGGATGGCTTTGTCCTTAAGACTTTTGAACCTCTGGGCTTTGTCCACTCAATCACGTCAGGGATTTTGCACAACACTAAACAAAAGTGAAAATATTAAAAATAAAACAGAATCTTTTAGTGCTACTCTGCCAATATCTCAATGTAAATATTAAGAAGTTTCCACTCATTCCCTGAGCTACCATCAAAGTCTTTCTAAAGTAAAGTAACTATCCTTGAAGCATATCAGGCATGTCAGCATAATAGAGTACCCTACTGCAGTGGCTTTCTATGTATCTGCAATGTTACATGAATTAAATTTTAGAAGCATTTAAGACAGTCTTCATTGTGTGTACTCAAAGTGCAACCTTAAAGAAAAGCATCCATTTCAATGAGTCATGCATCAGCAATAGTGAGCAAATGGATTTGAATTGTTAGGACCCGTGATGGTATGAATAGTTTTCTCTCTATGAAAAAGATTAGTTGTTCAGACATGCAGCTTATGGAAGCCAATTTTATTGAAATTTGGTTTTTTTTCTTGCAGTGAATCAAATAAGTTAACCATTTGTACATATCAGTTGGCTGGATATGGCCTTTAAATAGAAAACCCCAGAGAGTAAGATGGCAAACTTCTTGGGATGCTAAATATTGGAAGTAGAGTAGATTTATTTCCTGGATTATCTGATCAAGCATATCAGCAGACATGTCATCTATTCTTCTGCAAACAGTGTCATTAGATAAGAAAATTGCACTCAATTTCATAACAAATTCGTCTCTGATCATAACTCAATGTCTTTGGCCGCTGGCAACAGTAAATCCTCAGCAATGGTGTGAGGTTTCATAGCTCTGGTGAAATACCACCATTCTGAATACCACTAAATAGGAAGCTTCAATGGCTGCTACGTTTTGTTTGTGGTACTTGCCACCAGTGTCAAGTCTGGCTTTCTTGAGTCCATCAGCTTTGCTTCTAAAATAGTTGGTATCCTTGCCAACAAAGCTTGGATGCTTGCTATCAAAATGGCATTTGAGTTTGTTCAGTTTCATAGATTCGGCTGATAGAACTTCACAACAAGCAACACATTGTGGTTTCTCAACTCCTGCTGTAATTATTGAGGTAAAACCATACTGTAAAAAATCCTCACTATATTTTCTTTTCTTAACATTCTTCTCTACATACTCCATTGTCATGGGATGGTTTGCTAATGAAAATGACATATAACAATAGCTTTAATAATACAAAATATGATGCATGGCATAGTTCAGTTAATACAGTTCATTAAAGTTTCCTAGGATTTACCATTCTCTGTATTATTTTTTTACATACCTGTTACTATCACAAGGGGGCAGTATTCACATCAACCACAGCTGAATATAAAAAGACCAATCAGCATCCAGATTAAGTTCCCATGGTACAGATTTTCTTTTGCAGTAGTTTATGATTTTACAGTACATAATTTTACATTTAATCAGTAATTATAATTCATGCAGTGTTGTTTTCCCTCCAATACTGCTGCTTTCAACACAGTAGCTGCTTTTAACAGAGCAGCTGCTTTCTACACAGCAGCTGCTCTCTACACATGTGTGACTGGTCTTCAGAAGTACATTATGGCACCAACCCTGTCACATACACCTTTATTTGTATGGGGTGTATGTGAAGGGGTTGGCTTATCACGCCCCCAAAGGGGTCCCAACCCACAGGTTGAGAACCGCCGGTTTAGCTCTACTCTCAAGCAAGTCTCATTAGCAAATAAACACAAACAAAATTAAAACATCACAGTTTGGCCACCTATGATTTTTCTGACCAAAGGTGCAGAGTTTTCTTTTAAAACACAGGGCTTTCCACTTTTTAGTGTAGTAAGCTCAATGCAGATCAGCTTCATACTCAGTTACGTATTTAAACAGCCTCCTCTCCAATCAAAATGATCCTGAGACCTAGCATGAGCAAACAAGACATGCGTTGTCTACATAAAGGTATTCAACCATGTGGATCACAATACCTATGTTTAACATTGTGAAAATTGTAAATTTCAGAACATTTCACTGTGGTCATGCAGAACCTGTACATAGACTAAAAGGAAATGGTGTGAACAGAACAAGAGAATATTGAATGGCTTAAATTTCTGGAAAGGTGTGTGTGAATCAGGGTTGTATCTTTTGACCATGCTTATTCAATCTGTATGCTGAAAAACTAGGGTAAGAAGTTGGACTGCATGAAGTAGAATGTGGTGGTGTCAGGCTTTAACAGTTTGTGATATATACATGACCCTAACTTGGAACGTAAGGAGGACATGAGGAACCTGCTCACAACGATCAAAGACTACATCTTCAGTGAAGATTCCAACTTAATGTCAACAAAAGTCTTTGCAACTGGACTGATAGACAACATCAAGATAAGTGGAGAAACGATTAAAGGTCTCAAGGATTTCATTTTACTCTGGACCCATAATCAATGCGTTTGGAAACAGCAGTTAAGAAATCAAAGGACCTAGTGCATTGAGCAATTCTTGTTCACAAGACCTCTTTAAAATGTTAAAGACCACAGATAGGACTTTGAGGACTAAGATGCACCTTTATCTAAACCACGGTATTTTCATATTGCAGCCACGTATGCGTATGAAACCTGGACAATGAATGAGGAAGGCAGAAGAAATGATGCATTTGAATGGTGGTGTCGCCAAAGACTATTGAAAGTATCATGGGCTTCCAGGAAAACAAACAAATCTGTCTGGAGAGATGAACAGCCAGAATGCTTCTTAGGAGCGAGGATGCCAAGATGTCCTGTCACGTGTGCTTTGGACGTATCAGGAGGGACCAGTCTTCGGGGAGAGGTATCATACTTGGTAAAGCAGAGGGTCAGCAAATGCGGTAGAGACTCAATGAAATGGATTGGCACTGACTACGCCAACAGACTCCAACGCAGCCAAAATTGTGGATCACTTTGAGTCAGGTCTGATGCACGGGCATGTCACAATGCAAATTGGGATAATAGTAGTAACAGCTGGTCTTCTTTGTAAGTGTGTGCTTATGACCTGGGCACTGACCGTGTTGTACTTCAGGGTGGTCTTGAAATGTGCTTTTTGATAATGACTGTGATGCCATCCATTTGAGGAATGTGGAGATACCTCAGATTCTCACAGAGGCAAGGGAAATTTAATAAATTCACTTTAAAAAAATTTATACCACAGTTGCTAGATAATAATTCTTAATGTGAGCTTAAATACTTCTGGATTCTTCCTATCTTTATCAGATGAAATCGTCTACGGGCTACAAAGGCCTTCCAATGGGAGCAATGATTTGGGCTTTAGTTTCATCAAAACTATTGCTTGCCTTCCAAGAGAGGCCATAACAAAAGGTTTTTCTGTTATTGAAATTCATTCATTCATAAGATTGGGGTAAAAAAAATAAGCCAACTCCAGGAAGTAAAGAACTAGCTCACATGTTTTAGCCGTCCTTTGTTCACGCATGCTGTCATTCAGTTATGTTTGTTGAATAGCTAATGATGATAAAGAAACCGAACTCGCTGCCGTCAGGTTGATTCTGGCTCAGGGCAGCTCTCACAACAGCACTTCTAAGGCTGTGATTTTTTCTGAGAGCAGATAGCTTCAACTTTCTTCATCGGAGCAGCTGGTGGGTTTGAACTGCCGGCCTTATGGTTAGCTGAACAACACTTTCTTAACAAGGCCACTCACTCACTGCCGTTGAGTTGTTTCCAACCCTTAGAGATGCTATAAGAGAAAGTAGAACTGCTTAGACTGGAAAACTTTACAAGAGTAGAAAGCTTCCCTGTGGAGCGGCTGGTGACTTTTTAATTACTGCCCTTATGATTAGTAGCTCAAATTGCCACCAAGGTGTGTGCAGCGACACTAGGGCTCCATATCTAGGAACACATATGGGTGAATAAACAATTATTTTGGTCAGCACATGACAGCACAGGGGTATGACCTGTCAGTTAAGAGAGTATTTAGTAGAGGCTTCTAGCTCTAGGTTGGGCTGTGGGACTATTCGGTAAAGACCTTTTGGAGGAAGTGATGCCTCAGCTCTACTATGAAAGATCAACAGGAGTTAACGAGTAGAAGGGAGCAGAAGTTCGGGGCCAGGCACCAGCACACATAAAAACTCAGAGGGCAGTGAGTGCACATGGTGTGTCCGCAGAACTGACAGTAGTGCAGGCTGGGCGGGGGAGCGGTGAGACGTGTATCTGAGGAGGAGAGTAAGGTGTGATAATGCGAGGTCAGGGGTGACTCAGGACAGTCATTTAAGCTGGGGATTCACTTCTTCAGAATTTCATGTTTAGAAATGACTTAATATTATTTAAGAAGAATAGAAATTGTATATTTTAAAGAAAACTATAAAACATTTGAATGAGAATATAGTCAATAGATTAGTAAACCCTTGGTAGTTTATGGATTGAGTATTTGGGGACATTTTCCTTCTATTATATTTTAATATGACGCTTAGGGAGGGAGCCTCATGGTAGTATTAGAATATGTTAGTCCTTGCCCTTTCATTTCACAAAGCATTTGCTGATGAAAATCAAAGACTCCAGCCTTCAGAATGGATTTCACCTCAACAGAAAGAAGACAAAAATCCTTACAACTAAACCATTAAGCAACGTCATGATAATCAGAAAAATACTGATGTTACCAAAGATTTCATTTTTGTTGGATCTCCAATCAACACAAATGGAAGCCAAGTCAAGAAGTCAAATGATGCAGTGCATTGGGCAAATCTGCTGCAACAGACCTCTCTAAACTGTTCAAAAGCAAAGATGTGCCTTTGAGAATGAAGGTGCTCCTGACGCAAGCTGGGGCATTTTCAATATCCTCAGGTACATGTGAAAGCTGAACAATGAATAAAGTATTATTGATTCGATTCAATTATGGTGCTGGCAACAAGAATTGACTATCCCAGACACTGCCAGAAGAATGGATATCTTAAAAGGAATACATCCAGAATGCTCCTTGAAAACGTGCGTGATGAGACATTGTCTCACGTTCTCCAGACATGTTATCGCTGGAGAACCATTCCCGGAGTAGAGGGAGACCCTGACTGAGCTGGATGGGCGTAATGACTGCATCGGTGGCCTCCAGCACACCAGCGATGGGGAGGAGAAGGGCACAGGGCCAGGCAGGGTTCCGCGGTTTTGGACCGAGTCGCTGTGAATTGCCAGTCTCTCGGTGGCCCCTAACAACATCCTCTGCAGACCTGCCACACAATTCAATAAAGCCGCCGAACGCGAGGCTTTCCTGTCCACCCTCCTCTAAACGCAGCTTCCATGGAGGCTTTAAAGCCTTGCACATGACGATCAGTAAATGTGATGATGATAGTCATGATCATGATGACGACAGTAACAGAACTGCGTAATATAAAAGGATGACCAACTCTCAGAGTTCTGAGGTGCCCTCTCAAGGCTCTGAATGTGTTTTATTTGAGGCTCATTTTCATAGCTAGAGAGCATCATGAAAGAAATTCACCATTTTTAAAAGAAAACCAATTCTGAAAGGCGTTGTTGACATCTGTGACCCCATGGAAATTATTTCAATCTGTGGGCAATTTGTTTT